TTGAGTAAACCAATGATGGCTTCAGTGTCTCGTGTATGCACCAGAGGACCCCACTGGAAGCCCTATAGCAAGGTCTGAATTGAGACCAATCAACTGGCTGAAGTTGAAACCTCAACATCTTCTCTTGGCCATTTCAGCCATTCTATTCCATTCTCCTAGAGCCAGCAATTCTGATTTTAATGTGTCCCCCACTCCAGACCTGGGTGGGAAGCAGTTTTATCATGACTCAGGTCCCTGTTTGTGATATTTTTGTCATCCACTGTGTCTTAGAGCTGCTTCCCCTGGGCCTCTAACTAGAGCATAAACAAAGGCCAGTGGAGCTATGGGTTACAATATGATTCCAGTTCAGCCTTTCTCTCTCTCTTTAAAAATCCCTTGAACAGAGAATATTTATCACTTGGCAGGCCAGTAAAATGTAAATAGGATTTGCTGAAGAATGGTCCAAAATTCTCTGGGATTTATCATTTCACAACAACAAAAACAACAATGACAGGAAGGAAAGGCAAGGGAACTAAGCCTCAATGGCACCAACTCTATGCCTTGGAGATTCACACGCACTCTCTGCACTCTCCCATGTAACCCTCATAGCAACCCTGTGAACAAAATAACTACCATCCTTACTCGACAGATAAAGAAACTGAAGTTCATGGTGGCTAGAGAACTGGGTAGGACCCTCCTGAGAATGACATAAAGCAGAACTTACACTCAGCAGTGTGACACAGAGCTGTGTTCTTCCTACAGCATAGGAAGGCAATAGAGGCCCAGGGGCCGCCAGCCGGGGCAGACTCCTCTGAGGGTGGCCCTCTCTTAACTTCTGTTGAAAACCATGGGCCTTCCTCGAGAAAATGAGCTCCTGTAACTTGTTCTTTGCACACATTTTAGACAGTAAATGGACTTTTCCCAAAGCTCACCCACAGACCTCTCAATTAGCAATCTGTATTTCACTGATGTAGTAGAGCAGAGAAGGCACAGAACAACCAGGAGGATGAAGTGACCGCTAGCTTAGCCTGATCAGCTGTCCAGAACAGAGTTGATTTTTTTTTCCCAATTAGATTAGCAACTCCTATGATCTGGAACCAGTGAATCTTAAGATTCCTCCAATAACAGAATTAAGGATTCTTGATATCCTAAATTCATCTAGGCATGGAATTAACCATATCAGAATCAGAAAAACTTAGAATGTCAGAGCTGGAAGGGATCGGCCATGTCCACATATAATTGGACTCCACAATAACTCTGACAGGTAGCGAAGTGCCAGAAGCAGAGGCTGAAGAGTTGCAAAGCCTAACTGGAGGCCTCTCAGTTGAAGTGGTGGAGTCGGGATTCAAACCCTTGATGCTGGCTTCAGAACCAGGCCATCAGATTAAAGTCTGAGCCAACAGAAGGAAAGCCATGCAGTCTGAGAAAAGTGGGGACAAGAATGTTTGTAGGGAACCTACCAGATGCCAGGAAGCACCAGGGGGCTGCGGATAGAGGGCACCGTTTCTCACTCCCCATCACCCTACAAAGTGTGTGTGTTATGTTTGTTTTACAAATGGGAAAACAGGCTCAGGGTGTGAGGTAGCCAGCCCCAGATCACACAGCTAGGCGAGCATCAGTGATTGTGTCCGTTGCTTTATTTCCCTGGTGTAGTGGAGAAGGGAAATCAGAGAATAAGACCCAGGTCATGTTCAGCTGATGCTTCTCCAGGGAGAACAACGGAACTGACAGACACACATGCTCTAGTCCATAGGGAGACAGACTCTACTGTGGACCTGGGTGAGACAGCACTCGGGATCCTCCACCTCTCCCAGCCCTTTCCTGACCTTATACCCACTCTGTATCCTATGGCAAACCTGGCCCCTACTAGGAAGGGGGCACCCTGGATAACAGACGTGAGAACCCCCATCACGGGAACTGCACACACCTTCACTGTGTGAACCAGTTGGCATTCATCCTGTGGCTAAGGCCCTCAACCATGGTGCCCCCACCAATGCCCTTTGTCCCAGGAACCCCACCAACATAGCCAGCGGCCTCTTGTTCTAATGGTCAAATCTTCTTCAACATAAATGAAAGTTTCCAATGTGGGAACCAACAGTAACTCACCATTTAGTTTTTAGTATGCACTCAAACACATTATTTCCTTTAGCCTTATCCCAACTCAGTGGCATCAGGTATGATTAAGTCTTGTTACAGATCAAGAAACTGAGGCCCGGTGAGGCTGTGCAAGTCACCCAAGGTGGCACATTTTGCAGGGGACTGGGCCAGGAGTACAACTCAGATATGTCTGGTCCTGCAGTCTGTTCTCTGCGCATTTCATCGTGCTTCTCCATGATGATCTCTGAGTCCTATAGTGAAGATTAGGTAAGTGTGACAGTCCTTGGCCGCGTTGTGAAGGAGAGGAAGCGGAGGCTGGAGGACTCACTGAAGGGCGCTCCCTGGGATGATGCTGGCGCTCTCATCAGTATCCTGGTCTCCTGACTCTCAGTCTAGAGGACACTTTCTCCCAGCCCATATTGCCGTTCCCATCAGACCATGTAATTTCTTTTTCTGATTGGGACACGGAGCCAGCAGCCAACAAAGATCACAGTCTGTCTGCCTGAAGTCCCCCTGTGCTATGAGAGGTGTTGTTTTTTTTTTTTTATGTATTTCAAACAGGAACCAGGTTAAATCACCCTGTGTGCATTAACTTGGCCTGAGTTTCCCTGGTCCAGTTCCAGTTTCCTCTTCTCATCCTCTGGGTGACAGAACAAGGCAGGCTGCCTCCAACCACACCATGGCCTGCTCAGCTGGTGCACGACCCTCTAACTCACCCTTCTCCCCTACCAATCATTAGCTCCTGTTCCTCTCTGCCACCCCATCCATTCAACTGTCACGTTTTCTTAGCTCCACATCCTAAATATCTCACGGCATCCTAACCTAGGCCTGAACAATGTCCCACCTGGATGGCCATCTCAGCGTCCTAACGCTTGAGCCTGTCTTCAGTCTTGGCCCCCTCCAATCTCTCCTTTCCTCTGCTGTCAGAGTGACTTTTCACTCCTACTTAAAATTCTCCTTTAGTTCTTTTTTATTGCCTTCATATTCAGGCTCCAATTCCTCACAGACTGCATTTCATACTTACACCTTGGATACAAAGTCCTGGACCACTTACAGCTCCTATGCAACGTCCTTCCCCACCCTGATCACAGGTCTGCGGTGTTCCCCCTCCAGCAACACATCACACATCCCAGACCAGCCTGACCAGCTTCTACTCAGTCTTAAAAATCCAGCTTAGATGCGTCTGCCACTGGGAAGCCTTCCCTGGATCCCAGGACTCTCTGAGACGTCCCCTGCATCCATGTAAAGACATTTTGTTTACTGTCACCTTGCTGGTACCTAGAAGTTTACCTGATCTATGGCAGGCACTCAATAGATGTTTGCTAAATGAGGGTACCCCGCAGCCTTTTGGAATTCCTCCACTGCAGAGCTTACCATACATGCTATTATCATCATTTCTTTTCTGTCTTCCCAGGCAGGATCCATACTTTCTTGTTCAGTTTTTTACCGTGGTGTATTGTATGAGCTTTG